CAAAAAAAAAAAAAAAAAAAAAAAAAAAACCAATTGAATTGACTATTGAGCTTTACATTACTTTTCTATCTAGCCCAAAACAAAATCCCCCCATTACATGTACATGACTCAGTCGGCCAACCCACTTACCATTAGCCCATAGTAATAGCATTAGTATGACAGTATATAAATGCAAACCCTACTCTCCACAGACCACAAACTCACGCACGGCTCCTTTTATTTTTAATTTTTTTCTATTGTGTGTAGAAAATTCTACTTCTTCATCATATTGTAGAGCTCGTGCAACGTTTAGCGAGAAGGAAGTTGACGAAGAGGTACATTTTTTATTTAAATCTTAATTAAGACCATTCTGGAATAGGATTCTGGAATAGGTAGTATCGTTGTATTCTCTACTTACATTTCTTATTTACTATATATGAATCAACTTTGAGTGTTGATCTATGCTAGTAAAACTTGTGGGGAAGAATGAATCAAGTAATTTCGATGCACAACGATTAAGAATGAAGGAAAAATTTAGTATTGTTATATTTATAAGATTGTTTGTTAAATTTGTATTTTACAATTGAAAATTTGGATAATGTTTATATTTTCGTTTGGAATATTGTGCTTTTGTTTTCATTGACTTTTTTCATAAATTGTTTTATATCAATTTGATGGATGAACCTATAAAAAATAATTTATTTTTGTGGTAATTAACCGAACCGAATCGTGCCGAACCGAGATACGAACCGAACCGATTTACGTGGTTATGGTGCGATTATGGTATGGTCAAAAAACTGGTGGTGCGGTTATGATTTTGACCGAACCGACCTATAACCGAACCGTTGCCAACCCTAGAAGTATCTTTCATATGTCTTCCATATAGGTAAACCTTGACAATTATAAATCAACACTTAAATATCGGATTTTGAAATCTAATGTTAAAATAATAATAATAATAATAATAATAATAATAATAATAATTGTACAGTTCCGCCGCTATGAATTACCCAAACTTTGGCGACCATTGGTCCAAAAGCGTTTCTTTGTCAAACTTATTTACCACGTGTGTCGCAGATAAGGTTTCAATGTATGAAATCACAAAAACTAATTTCTAGCAAAAAGTGTAATAGGTTGATTTCTACAGAGTTAATTGTTTGAATACTCACTGAACTTTAAAGGGCGTCACATTTCACTCACTGAACTTTACTTTACACCCAATTACTCACCGAACTTTGGAGTTAATTGTTTGAATACTCACTGAACTTTAAAGGGCATCACGTTTCACTCACTCAACTTTACTTTGCACCCAATTACTCACTGAACTTTGTAAACTTGCACTCCATCACTCATCGGGTTAAAGAGTTAATTGTTTGAATACTTACCGAACTTTACAAGACGTCATATTTCACCCACTCAACTTTACTTTGCACCCAATTACTCACTAAACTTTGTAAATTTGCACTTCATCACTCACCAAGAACTGTTTGTTCTGTTTGTCTATGTGGATGACGGCTTTAACACGTGGCAGTTAAATTAGACAAACATAACAATGAATTGCCAAATCATATATCCAAAAGGACCCAAACATGCCTCACCTTTTTCAGTCAAAAATGCCATGCCCAGTAAAGGCGAAAAAGAAGAAACAACAATCGCGCTATACTAAAATTCACCTTCGAAGCGGCCTATTTTAAGAGATTAGGGTTCCAATCGCGATTTATGTGTTGAAAACGGTGAGGCATGTTTGGGTCCTTTTGGATATATGATTTGGCAATTCATTGTTATGTTTGTCTAATTTAACTGCCACGTGTTAAAGCCGTCATCCACATAGGCAAACAAAACAAACGGTTCCTGGTGAGTAATGAAGTGCAAATTTATAAAATTCAGTGAGTAATTGGGTGCAAAGTAAAGTTGAGTGGGTGAAATGTGACGTCTTGTAAAGTTCGGTAAGTATTCAAACAATTAACTCTTTAAACCGATGAGTGATGGAGTGCAAGTTTACAAAGTTCAGTGAGTAATTGGGTGCAAAGTAAAGTTCAATGAGTAAAACGTGACGCCCTTCCAAAGTTTAGTGAGTAATTGGGTGCAAAGTAAAGTTCAGTGAGTGAAATGTGACGCCCTTTAAAGTTCAGTGAGTATTCAAACAATTAACTCATTTCTACATCATAGTCAAAATTCCACTGGAAATTTCCTTCACACATTAAGAACCCATTTGGCCCCCATTTTGTAGAATTGAAAATTGACGAAATAGTATTTTTTTTTTTTTTAAATTATGAATGGTTGAAAAAGAAGAAAAAATTTCGATTAAAGTGTAATATTATTTTATGAAAAATTGTGTAATTAAAAATAAGTGAGAAAAAACGTAATGGAAATTAATGGGGTCAAACAGGCCAAGCATAGAGTCTAACTGATTGACTATAATTTTAGACAATGGGCACACATTTGTTTTCTAGAAAGTCAACGAAACTGGTAAAAGAAATAGAATTTTTGGCATCAGACTATAATTGCTCTAATAGTTTTCAATCTTTACTCATTACCGTATTTGTGGAATTTTATTTATTTATTTATTTTTTGGTTGCATTCTTATCGTCAAACTTGCATTAATTGTCACACTTCTTCGTGATAAAGATTTTTCGCCAAAATGTTCTTTAAGACGTAAAGAGACTTAATTATCCACTCATATTAAAAAAAAAAAAAAAACTGAAAAGAATATTTGTCCATCATATCAAAGCACACTAATAGAATATTTGAACAAAAATCATCATTAGAGAGCAAATCGCTATATAATGGAAACTCGAGTGTAAGAATTCGAGGAAAAAAAAAAGATGAGGAAATAAATGTGATAAAATGCAAAAATTGAGGACTTAATTTGCAGTTAAAAGGTGCTATAGCTACCAAAAAGTTATTTCTTTGGAGGTTGCAGTTATCATTTTCAACCTTTCCAAAAAGTAC